CCGCGCAGCGTTGCGCGCCCCGCGGGGTAGGGCGCGGGGCGAGGAGCCCACGGGGAGGGCGTGTTTTTCCGTGGCGGACAAAAACACCAACATCGCTGGATAGATAAGAAAATGGAATACTGTATTTGATTTAGAAAGTTTGTACATATAGATAAACACGCAGTTAAGGAAACAATAGTTTAAGCGTCCTACGTGGAGTTTAAGAAGAGACCCCCCAAAGCTGCTATGAAATACTCAAAATAGCTTTTGCATAAGATAACTACGGTTGCACCCTAAGCTTTTTTTTTTTTTTTTCCTTTTTTTTTTTTCTATCGCTGAGGTCCCTTTTGAAAACCTAGCACGTCAGATCTTGACAGCTAAGTTTGTGCAAGGAACACCGAGTCAAGGAAAATAAAAAGGAGAGAGAGAAAGGGTGGGAGGGAGATAGACAGAGAGGGGGGAGGAAGAAAGAAAGAGTAGAGCAAATATCATATACAAGCATTTCTACACATATATTACAAACTGGGAAAATGACCGCATCATTAAGATATACATAATTCATATAAAATTTTGAAATAAAAATAAAAATCTGTTACAGTCATAACTATTCTTTTTCCACATTTATAACCAGTACCCACACAGGCAGTGACAGAAGTGTAGAAAAAAAGGTGCTTACGAATAAAATGATTGTCTGCTGAACAAAAAAACAGAAAATTGCATCTTGGCTGGACCATCACTTGGACTTAAAAAAAAAAAAAACAAAAAACAAAACAAAACAAAAAAGAGAGAAAGGGAGTGGGAGAGAGAAAGAGAGAGAAATAGGACCAACAAAAAGGCGATAAACATTTGTTATTTCCCTCTTCAAGGAGTTCCTTTTAATTTTTTTTTATTTTTGATTTTTGTACAAATTCGATTGGAGTTTGCGTTTGTTTGTCTGGTTTCTGTTTGTTTTCCTTTACTATAGAGAATATTTTTTCCCAGATACAAATTTAATCATCATCATCATGCAAGTGGGTGAAATGCGTCCATGGAAAAGCGCAAAGGAGAAATCGTGCTTGTCCTAAAAAGAATACAATTGTCACTTTTGCTTTGTTTTTTTTTTTCTTTTTTTTCTTTTTATATATATAATAATTATTATTTCCCGCCCCCCCACCCCCCCGCTGCAGCACCAGCGTTTGTGACTGTTGAAGTTTTAGCTCCATCTCTTGGTGGTGGTGTTGGCTGACGGTGGGGGGGGGGGGGGGTTTTCTGGT